TGAATGTCTAAGGCAAAAGCATTAATCGTCATATCTCACTGTTCCATTTTTACCTTTTTTGTGTTTCTCTGGAAAAATATTGAGATATTAAAATATCTATATTTATATATGACTTCTCCATTATTATGATTATTTATAATTATATTTATTTTATTTTATTGTTTTCAACATACAAAATTTAGCGAAAATAATATTTCATTATTTTCGAAAACCAAATTGTTATTAGGAAAATAAAACTTTAAATGTCTGTTTCCTTAAACTTCATTATTTAGATGTACACCCCTCTCCAAAAGTATTAGGACACTTACAGGAAATTGGATAGCTATGAAAATTCGATGTGAAATTGTGATAATTTTTTAAATTCTACAATCTGAGCGTCACTTAGAAAGAATTTACTTACAATTTATACGAAATAACCAGATATCCTTTAATTTAATTTAACCTTCGGAGGGCGGTGTATCTCGGTATTGAATTAGAGCAGCGACCGGTAACCAGCTGAACCGAACGCATCTCGCATGCGAAACGATGCATCGATTCACAATTCAGCGAAGATTAAGTTCGACTTACTAAGTATCTGTTCGATTATCCGACCGAACAACTATGTAACTCTCCACTTAGCTCGGATAACCAAGATTCTCCGTATATTTCGTCCGCCCACCGTAGCGTTATTAATAGGAGAGCTCAATCTCAATCATTTAGTCCTAATACGTATGTACAGTATGACACTCAATGAATGTAATTGCGAGATACCAATAAAGACAGAGAACGATTATTAACGACTTTGTCCCGTAGATGTTATCGGTAATTGCCGGCCTTTACCGTCGTTCGTCGGAACATTTGATTATTGGTCCCTTAGCGTGTTTCGATTCCCATAATCGATACCTTCGGGACCAATGGGTGCCGGCCGGTTTCCTGAAAAAAGATCGTGAAAAATGGTTCGGATGTGTATACTTTGTAGTTCCATGCGACGAAAAATACGAGCGACGTGCACTGCAATCGAGTCGGAACGGGTCGAAGCCGGACAGCATCCGGCCGTCGAGGATGAATGGTTCTATGGTCATTAGCATGCGGAAAATTTCTAACAGAAAAACCAGAACGACCCGTTCTCGATGGTCATTTTAAATGCTCCGTCTCCGATCGGTTCGCGAATTACCGGGAAACTGGAGCGGGCCTTACCATAGGGGCGATTCTCGAATCGTCCGTAGTTCCGCGTTCGAGACAATTAGACGGCCTCGTTCGAGCGTTATTCACCAGCCATAAATTCGATATACTAGGATAGATGCGTGATTTATCACCGTGAGCGGTTCTTTTGATTTAAGGGTTAGGGCTAAAGAAACTTAAGTAGGGTCTTCTCTTGCTCTAACCTTCCTGGATACGCGCCTTTTAGAATCTCAACTGCGTGAACACCTCGCTTGGTCGTTACGAGCTCTGATGGCCCCGGGTGAGAGTTACGTCTCTTTTAACGCGTCAAAAATCCTTGTCGCATATCAATGAGTTTTCAAGTTTTTAGTCGCTCGATCGGGACCTTCCTGATCCCTGCAAGAAACCGTCGGACATTGATCGGTTGACTCAGGAAGACGGGTGCAGAGAACCGTAGAAAGCTTATTAAGCTTCAAATAATAATTTTCTATTAAATCTATTAATATTGTTATTAAGATATCATCCAAAATGAAAATAAAGATTAAGAAAGGTAAAGGAAAATATAAAGTATAAAATAATATATAACCAGATTCTAATCGATTCTTCGTTATACCTCATTTAACCCTTTGCGCTCGAAGCTATTTCAACTGTAAATCTAAAATAATTTCTCTGACTTATGGTATTTTTATTTTACATGAGAAAGTGCGTTTTATGCATATGAAATTGACTCTTGTGGCTCGCACAACGGTAACGCTCTTAACAATCTTTTTAAATCTAAGTTTTGCTAATGTAAAAATTATTTTAGAACGTGACATCATAAATTTTAATGGTGCCTCAGAGTCACCACTCGAGTGCAAAGGGTTAATAATTACGTTCAACAGTTTAGAGAATAATTTCAGTTCTTGAAACGACATCTCGTACGATAAAGGGGTTATTGTTGAATTGATAATAATCAAGCATTAAGATGTCTGAAAATGTAGACATAGTTTTCAATAACGGGCAATCGTATCTTTCATACTTGCATGTGAAGAGTAGAGTCAATCGAGCCTGTTAGTTGATGAGTGGCGTGACTCGAAAATTATGAAAAATTCTAGAAATAGCTAGCATTAAGTACAGTTGTTTTATTTGCCAATTAAAAGTTCTGTATAGTTTCTTTTATGTTATTATAAAATAAGGGAGAGTTTCACATGGCAAATATAGTGACTGTAACATTATCTGAAATGGTGGCTTCAGCTATCAATGGTGAATGTTAATGATAAGAAATGCAGCAGCGAACGAGTTTCTTTAATATTACTGTAACAAATGAGACTCATAATGCAATAAACTGTTACGTTAAATGATAACAATTAATTATTACATTAATTGCCACATGGAAATTATTATGGAAGTAATGTTAATTCATTTTTGAAAGTACTACAAGAAAAGTAGTGAACACTTTCCAATAAACACAGTATATCATTATTAATTATTCTACAATAATTGCCATATGCCATAAGACTGACTTTTGACTGACATATGACTTTTGTAAAAGAAAGGAATGTCGACTCGATTATTTTTGTTATGATATCGTTTGTCGACTGTAAAAAGAATATCGTTTTTCCTCTAAATTATGTTATCATGATCACTATTCTTTCATTATATTTCCTTACTATAAAACTACATTCTGCTCTGATCTTTTTTATGAAGTATTACATAAACATCCAATCTTCACAGTATTAAGAAACAGGACTTCCGCCATTTGTCAACTGAGAGGTTCATTTTCACTTGAATTGCGTTTGCTGTTTTTAACCCCTTAAACTCGTGCCAGTGCATGTCACGGACACACGAAATTAACACTTTTATAGAAACTTTTAAGCCGTATAAACTTTACGAATTTTGAAGCTGTTCCATTTCTATAAAAATAAAACTTGTCCCACAAGAGAATCGAATGGCGTCAATTACCTCTTCGGAGTCATCTGAAAACAAGTTTAAAAATTGATTTACTATGTTGAAATGACACGTACAGATGAAAATTATTGTGCGTTAGGGGATTAACGATCGAGAAAATGAATAAGGAATGAAATTATTGCTTCGGTGGTAGCTTTAAAACTATAATTAATTATTTTAACCTTTAAATAAAAAATTAATCTTAAAAAATATATTAATTTCGACGACGATTTTCTCCTTCGCACACGTTCTCGTATCGTCAAAAACGACGTAGACATTTCGGGTGACTGAACACATTTTAAAATCCTTAATCGTTCCATAAGACCGTAAGTTTCATCCAGAGACGAACACGAAATTCAAGAAAATCGACTTTGATAAAGGGTTGAAAGACTCGAAGTATTTCGGCCGTTTTTTGTTATTGATCATTAACGCCGCCGTCGTTAAACTCATCTTCCTCATTTCCCTATCATCGCAACCACAGGAAGAAAATGATAAACTAATTATCGGAACTGGTAACATATTGGAACCGATCGGCCGTCGTAACTACAATTATCGTCAATTTTACAATTTTTGTTTACCCCTTGAATTTGCTCGACGTACTCGTGTCTTTCTCAAAAAGTTGTCCAGAATTCATAACTTTATACGATTTTTATGAACTCGTGTTTTTGAGCCACTTATGTTTACTTTGTATCATAAATCTCGTTTGAACAGGTTTTTCGATGACTGTCAATTTTTTTCGTGCCGTTATACAGGGTGTCCCGTAATGACGTTAACACTCGAAAAAGGGGTGTTGCTTTGTTTACGAGTTGTTAATGAAAAACTGATCAATGAGAGGCGAGCTCGACTGACGCAAGGTGGCCGAACCAACGAGCGGTCGAAGCCCAGTTTCCCTCATTGGCTTGGCCGTCTAGCGCTAGGCGAGTTCGCTTCTCATTGGTCAGTATTTTCCGTTAATAACTCGTGAACCAAGCCGCGGATTGCATTTTCGCTGAGGAAAAAGTTACTTCGAATGACCTCAAGAACTCCCCATTTCCAGATTACGAGACATTTTTTAGGCATTTTAGACATTTTTCAGACTGCATATTTGTATGGTAAAGTGATTTTTTAAGGATAAGCTTTAGCTTGACACATCAAAAAACGTTATCACCTTTAAGGTATTACGAAGCACAAGAATTCGCCACTTTTTGCATTTGACGCAACTTGATGCTGTTACAGACTTTGGAAATTGCAAATGGTTCAGCTTTTTGCTGCTGCATGTTTCAAAAATTACAACCGAGCTAGCTTCCTGCTGCTAATGTACTACGGAAATTGCAGCTTAACCAACTTTCTGCTGCTACAGACGTTGATTGATGCCAGCATTTCGCTGCTATATATTTCGAAAATTACAACCGTGCCAGCTTTTTGCTACTATATACTTTGAAAATTGCAGCTGTGCCAACTTTTTGCTGTTGCATATTTTTAAAACTCAGGCAACTCAGCCAGCCTATTGCTACTATATACTTCGAACATTGCAACTTAGTTAGCTTTTTGCTGTTATCTATATCGAAAATTGTAAGACAGCTTGCACTCTGCTGCTGTGTACTTCGGAAATTACAACCGGACCACCTTTCTTTCTGCCACATGTTTCGAAAATTGCAACTCAGCCAGCTTTTTGCTGCTATGTGCATTCGAAAGTTTCAACTTGGCCAGCTTCTCGCTACTATGTAACTTCGAAAATTGCAACAGAGCTGGCTTTCTGTTGCTGTCGAAAATTGCAGCTGGATCAGCTTTTTGCTGCTACATGTTTCGAAAATTGCGACCGAGTCAGCCCGTTGCTGTTTTGCCAATTGTTCGTGTCAGGGCGTCGCTGTGCGACGTAACGACTAGATAGAATAAGTAACCAATGATGATCGCGGAAGTGCGTGTATATCTGACCAGGTGTTTTTGATTTTCAGCGATATTTCAAAGAACGTCCGTATCCAGAGGTCAATTGAGGATCCAAGGTGTGGCGACGTGCCTGTACCTGTGCATGGATTCCTGTGGTCTTCTTTACGGCTCGGTAAGTCAAGCTGTCCACTGGAAAAAGTTGCTCTTCCTTTCGATAAAATCGCCTCATAGCACGTCCCGAGCAGACAGACGGCGAGAGCATACCAGTCGAGGAAGAAAATGAAGCGGCCGAGTGCCACGCGACGCCGACCGCTTCTCTCCGCCTCTTCTTATCCCGTAATACGCTATCGCGGCATCTAAATTACAGAAACGTACGTGTGGGGAAAAACGAATCGGCCACACGAGCCGGGTTCGTTAGGCCGGCATTCGAATTCTGAATCCCTGGGCTGTTTCGTGTTGCTCGACATCTACGAAATAGTTTACGCGTCACCGTCGACCTATCTGATGGTATTTTGTTGCATTTCTATTACCGATTGCGATGTTTGTCGCGCCGGCAAACCAGTTCAAGTGTTCCGATACATATTTCCGATCGTTTCGCAGTTGTTGTTGTGCGGTTCGGATGTTGACTATGTATTCGAGCGTCCTGTTTTAGCGGGGCCGTTCTCCGCGTGATACCGAATTAACTTCTTGCTGGGGACCCTTAAGAGAGCTTCCGTTGCCGGTGGAACGACTACATATTAGTATTAATGTTATCATTAAGCTATTGGTATTAGAGGAGTTTCTGTAAATTTGCTTCTTAATTTTCGAACATTTAGAATTTAATACACGCGTATTTAATTGAAATTTCAGATGTCCCGAACGCTACGTGTGCGCTACATTTTTCATAGATCGCCGTTCCGAAGGCGATGCGCACTTTTATAACGATTCCTTATTAGCTGTGCAGAGAGTAGATAATTTGATGAACCATGCTGTGAGCATTTGCTTTCATCAAGTTCAAAAGCCTCGTCTCATCGAACCATTTTCTTCTTTGTAATATTAAAATTACGTGTGAGATTTATTAATACGTTACACGATTACTTTTAATAGATCTGGTTCTTGAGTTTGAAATATTTCGAATTTAATTCGCATGTACAAAACACACGAAGTGTTTCCATGGCTACGTTGTACGCACTGTGTCATAGATTGCCATTCCAGAAACATTGTGTGCATTTTTATAAGATTTCCTTGTTAGCGGTGCAGGTACTTTACGAACCGCACTGTATGCAGCTTTTTTCGGCAAGTTCTTTTTAAAATCGCTCGAAACGGCCGGCAATTTACAATCCACAGAGATTCTAATTGAAATAGGATGACTTGCTTACGGTTTGAAAACGCATTCGCATACTGCACGCTATAACCAGTTTCAAGAGCAGGTTAAATGAACACGCGGAATCTTGTAAAAATAACCTGATTACGTTGGTTAACATATACCAGCGCTGTTCGGAAGACGAGTTGCTAACACAATTCTTCCCTGGACGTGTCCTACATCGTCTTCTCATCCGCAGTGGCCAACTGAAACCACGACATTAATCCTGCTTTCAAATCCAGTTTACGCCTTAATTAAAATCTAGAAAGTGAAAGTGTCTTGTTAGCCGGACGATTTGTTTACCGGGAACGTTGTTCTTTATTCGCTTCGAAATATACAAGTGACAATCCGAAATGGTTCATCCTCCGGTGAACATAATCGCTAGACCGTGGATTTCAGGCATTTATTTTTATGCAATTAATTGGTTTCTATTTCTTTCAAAGAATGCAGAACATTTTTATTTTTCATAAAAATCTGTAGTCTAGCAATCACAATACGAGAGAACTATGATGAACGGGACACATATTGAATGGGACATTCTCAGATGGCACAAAGACGTCTTTAAGACGTCTTGAAGACGTCCCGAATTAGACGTCCTTTTAACGTCTGAAATAAATCGTCTTACATACTTTCATCTTAGAGCATACTAAGACTACTAACTTCAGACCTAAAATGGACGTGAAATGGACGTCTTTAAGATGTTCAGTGTTTATTGAGTTAACACTATCACAAAAATTGTGAATCTTTCTATAATAAAATTGGCTATGTTGTATGAGGTACTGTTACTTTTCATTCAGTTGTTATTTATTCCATTCGATCAGAATGTTGACATATAGCATCGGATCAGTCATCCATTGTCATAGTAATTGAACGAGTCAAAATTTGAATGTTGTAAACAAGTTTATAAATGGAACATATAGAATATTACAGGTCTTTAGTAAATTGGCAAATGAAACGTGCGCCATATAAAAACTGCACCAAACTTTCCCTGCTTATTAGGTAATTAATTCTTCAAATATTTTTATTCAGAAAATTTTGTTAATTTTGTTCGATACCTTTTTATCGAAAGAATTATTTTCTGTCATAAAATAAATTCGACTAGAATGAAATACTTCAGTTACAGATAAAATAGTGTAAAACGCGGTAAGATCAGTCGGCTAAAATAGGTGGAGTAGAGTAAAAAGTCGCGAAATTGAATAATAGAATTAAAATAGATATAGGAAAAAATAGATGGTTAATAGATAACAGAAAAAGAAGAGAGATAATGTGACATAAAATAAAATGAAATTAGAATAAGAGAAGATGAAATAGATATACGAAAAGATAGATGGTTAATTGATAACAAAAAAAGAAGAGAGATAATTCATATTATGAAATTATATTCATATTATAATGAAATTAGAATAAGAGAAGATGAAACGCGTTGCTCGTCATTAAAAATAAGATTAAGACTACGGTTAAAATCAGAACGCCATGTAAATGTCATGTAAATTAAAATAAATGAACTAGTATAAAATGAGATGAGATAAAATCGGAGTGGCTAAATAGGTATTAATAAAACGGGCTGATCATATCAACGCTCCCCAACAAGATCTACCCTAACTCGATGCCTCTTTAACAATTGTGCAAATTTCATTGCCTGGAACAACCTTGAAATATGCATAAAGCAAAAGTATCCGTTTACAATTTATCCCTGAACTATTTTTCCTTTGAGCACGCGAAAAAAAATCCGTATTTAGACAACTACCGTTACACCGATTCCTGTTTACGCCGTGTACATCGAATAACAACATAATCACAGAAGCACCGAGCACGTTACAACCTCTGGAAACGGAAAATGAACGAGTTGTCACACAAGAGTTAAAAAGTTGACAGCACGAGAGTTAAAAACCCGGCTCGGCATTCAGATCCTAGTATGACATTCTATCTAACAACCATAAACGCGAGCGATACAGGTGTAGCGTGGAAGGTGTGGTTGGCGGCGAACCGACGGCATCGGAAGTCGGGGAAACGTCCCCTAAGTCTTGGAAATGCTTATCGTCCCGTGGTATATCCACGGTGCACAAAATCCGTGGTTCGCGTACGCGATCAATTTCATCGGTGTTTTCGAGACTTAATTAAAACCGATGACGTTTGATCGAAATACAGGAGCAGCTGTGCAAGCCTGAGAAACAGGTTTAGCCCCTAACTGCTATCGTTCCCCGTTTCGTTCCTCCTTTTTTTCGACCGCGCCGCTGTAACTAGTACTGTACAAAAGGAATGCGTTTCCCCTGGGGTTGATACACTCTTGACTGTGTACCATTTCGCAGGAGGATGCGTTTAATGGCCGATTAATCTTGTTAGTCGCGCGGTTTTTCCGGAGATTTCCGCGGCCGCCTCGGCCGCCTCGTGTAACGAGGAAATTGGAATTTGATTCGATTTCATTCGATTTCATTCGATTTCATTCGGTTTCGATGGAGGCTGCCCCGCGAGACACCTTCCTGTTCTTTCAGGGTGTTGACAAGATAAAAGAACCAATTATGGAACGGTTTTCAGGGGATTTTATACGATTATCATCACCATTTAATTACAACTTAAGTGTGTTGTTGTTGATTATTTGTACCACTGTCCGGTAGATTGATGTTTTTAGATAACGTAATAAACTTTGAAATATTCACTTAATACGACTAAAAATTCACTCGTATTAACGAGTGAAAGAGTAAAGTACGAGCGTTATGGAACACACACCGTTTCCGTATCATGTCTCCGTGTTCTATATTGAATATCTCTAACTTGGAACGGACATTTGGAAATGCCGTTCCAAATTAGGGACATTAAATATGAAACACGGATGCCAACTATTCCATAAATCGAGACAATGAAAAAATTCCTAAATAATGTCCACAGTATGTTCTTGCTTAGAAACGCTTAATAACATATAAACATTGTTTTCACAACTGATTGTTACAAAACAGTATTTCTGTGAGTGAAACTATAAAAAACAATGTTCAGAAATATGGATAGAATTTTTACATCCAGTATCATATGCACTATATATTTTTTTTTATATTGTTTGCACTACTGTTTCAAGTAGGGTTCATAATTGGGAGGTGTTTCATAATAGGTACTATTAGCTTAGTTCAGAAACAGCTCAACGCTGGAACGATGAACCTTTTTGATGAAACCTTTTTTTAACTATTTTGTTTAAGCTAACATAATGTTTAAGCTACTCGTTCTATAGATTTGCTATAGATCTTAATGAAACATGTGTCAGAAGCCAGATAGTCAAATTGCGATTTTTATACTCTGGGTCTAAATAGACCCGAACCTGCTTGGTTTACGGTTCTCGTGGAAATGACGGGTGGCAAATTTCTTACCACCTTGACTGCTGGGTAACGGAATTAATTGTATCTTCCTAATTTTATTCAGATCCATAAGACATAAGAATGTTGCAAAAGTAATTGATCACCTCAATTAAAAATCTTAATTTATAATAAAAATTCGTTAGAATTAAATTTTATATAAAAATATAAGAAAAGAAATTGTTACATTAATCGAAATAATATATCGGATTATGATCGAAAACGTCGCAACGAACAGTATTTTTAGAAGTTCTCGACTCTTGATTTTCGAGTTTACAGTTTTCCCTGTGCAAACGGCGATAGAAAATGCATAAACAACATCCCCGGTAAATTACTCCGCACACTTTCCGATATATTATTCGCAAACTATATATATATATTAAAACGGAACCGAGGAATTTCTCCACAACTCACCTCTTCTTTCACCTGAGAATCTTGTACCAGGAAAGCTTAGATCTCAGATAACTCATCGTTTCACGATCCATTGAG